TGGTGGTGGAGAGGGTGGTGGTGGTGATGGTGGTGGAGAGGGTGGTGGTGGTGGTGGTGGTGATGGTGATGGTGGTGGTGGTGATGGTGGTGGTGGTGGTGGTGGTGGTGGTGATAGTGGTGGTGATGGTGATGGTGATGGTGATGGTGGTGGTGGTGGTGGTGGTGGTGATGGAGATGGTGGTGATGGTGGTGGTGGTGGTGATGGAGATGTTAATGATGGTGATAGTGAGAATGGTGCTGGTCCTGGTGTTCAGGGAAATAAAAAATGTACCATTTCCTAGCTCTAGACCAGTGGTTCTCAACCTTGGTTGCACATTAGAATCACCTGGGAATCTTTTTAAAATCCTGATTTCTGGGCCTCATCCTCCGGAAATTCTGTTTCTTTGTTACTAATGTTGTGGCCCCAACCCAGAACAAAAAAACAGAATTTCCAGAAGATGAGGCCCAGAAATCAGGATTTTAAAAAGATTCCCAGGTGATTCTAATGTGCAGCCAAGGTTGAGAACCACTGCTGTAGACTGTCTCTGGGATGAGATTCGCAGGTTTGCCCTGAAGGTATTTAGAAATTGGAAGCTAACTTCAGGTGTGTAGGCTCTAGTACGAGAGCTCTGCCACCTGTTGCTGTCTAGTGCCTTTCGAAGTGAAGTGTTCGTGGACATTTTACCTGGAACTTTCCCCTGTTGTTACTGGACTTGCTAACAATGTGCTGGCCTGAAAGCATGTGGCTCAGCACAGGCACTTCGGGGCACGGACCCTCAACACGTGAGCTGGGACGGAACGTGTTGATGGAAAGGGGGCCACGGAGCCACGTAAAGATTCGGACTGTGTCTGTCCTGTGTGAGAAGTTCATCATCTAATTTACCGACCTTCAAATAATAGATTAGTAATTAATCAATCATAGTTTACTGACCATAAAATAAGGACGAACTCGTGTAACCTGATGACTACGAATACTCAAGGAGGTAGGTTCAGGTCCTGTGACACGTTCAGAGTTGCACCCATTTTAGACATCAATGTTTTAAGGATAAAAATATGAACAAAATTCTGAACTAGAAACAGGCTGCTCGCCGTCTGGCTCTCACCTGGAGGATGCTCTCTGGAGGCATTTCGTGATTTAAGAACCCGATCCCGTGCCAGTACAGCTTTGCTTTGTCGCTTTTATAACTTTCCGAGGTCCCAGCTTCAACGATGGAGGCTCCTAAAATGATCACATAGTTTTTCAAGTAAAAAGTTAAAAAACTCAAAACACGTCGTGTGGGTTTCGATGATGTTGCTGGACAATGAGGACTGGGCGGTGTGTGCCAAGCAGTTTCACAGCATTTTGGAAACGCTGTTGTGATCACACACGGACCCTGAGGCCACTGATTTAGAGACGGGACTGTGGGGGGCGGCTGTTCCCGAGGCACAGGGACCCCTTTTAACCGCTCACGGGACAGGGGAGGCTTTAGGCCTAAGTATTTTATGTGTGTGTGTGTTTTAATAACTGTTGTGAATAGTACTGTTTTTTTCTTTTTAAAAATATTTTTTACTGTTGCTAGTATTACAGTATCTCCCATCCCCGCCTTTACCCTCTTCCTCCCAATAGTACTGTGTTAAATTTTTCTTTTTCCAATCTTTTATGACTAATATCTGAAAACTATATATATAGAATTGAACTTCACCTTACTGATTAGTTCTAGAGTTTTTTGGTGATTTTAGTGCAAAAGTGTGAAGGGTTCTACTGCCTGTGACGTGAACCTAATGGCTGCCCCTGAGGCGCTGGGAACCCAGCTTTCTCTGCGGCCTTTTCCACGCTAACGAAGCGACTCGGCGTTTGCTCTGAGATGTGCACCTGCCAGGAGCCGGTCCATCCTTGCTGTTTCAAGGGACCTGGCATATATAGCATACTGTTCTTAATGTGTTTGCTCCCCTTAGCGCTATGTGTTTTGGCCAAGGTCACCTCTCTGAGAAAGGTTGTTTCCCCAGGTAGGGATTTTTCCCTGAAGTTAGGGAGGGAATAAAATCCCTTAACTAAGTGCCAGGCGGGTAATTAATCACTTTAACTAAGAACAATCATGCTTAAGCTACATAATCTTTACTCCCTGGAATGGAGATAAGAAACACCCTAACCTTTGGAATAGAAATTGACAGGATTAAAATCAACTGGTATAAATACAGATGTAACAAGACAACAGAAGACAGAACCTAGACACACAGAACCTGGCTGAAGAACCTAGAGACAGAACCTAGAGACAGAACCTAGACACAGAACCTAGAGAGAGAACCTAGGGAGAGAACATGGCAAAAGATCCTGGACAGAACCTGGCTACAGAACTTGGCTGGAGAACCTAGAGACAGAACATGGAAGGAGAACCTGGCGACAGAACCTGGCTGGAGAACCTGGAGAACCTAGCGAGAGAACATGGCAACAGAACCTGGCTGGAGATCCTAACCAGAACTTGGCCAGAGATCGTGGCTAGAGATCCTGGCTAGGCTGCTGATCAACTGAATGCTGCCTCTGTGTCATTCCTTCTTCGCTGACTCCGTCCACACCTTTGGGGACCCCTGGACCTGTTGGGGTTGGACCCCAACACGCACCAACTCGGAGCAAACAACAACCATTTCTATTCTCCTTTCCTGTCTGGATGTGCTCATTTCTCTCCCTCCCACATGACCAGATAGATACATGTTCTCCTAATAAGGAAATATAGAGAGTCCTGCTCAGTGGTTGAGCATCGACCTATGAGCCAGGAGGTCAGGGTTTGATTCCCGGTCAAGGGCACATGCCCAGGTTGTGGGCTCAATATCCAGTAGGGGGTGTGCAGGAGGCAGCTGATCCATGATTCTCTCTCATCATTGACGTTTCTCTCTCTCTCCCTCTCCCTTCCTCTTGGAAAAAAATAACAAAATATTAAAAAAGAAAGAGAGAGAAATATACAGAACAGAGACACTATTGAAGCGTTTTCCCTCCTCACTCACCTGCCGACTTCAGGGCATAATCCGCCATCTGGACTTGGTCTTCTCTCAGCTTCTTAAGCACATAGTTTACCAAGTTCGACATTTCCTGTACAAATTTAAAAACCGTGTTCTGTTAAGTCCCTGCCGACTGCTGAAGTCTGGACCGTGCGCGCTGTGCCTGCGGACCCCAGGCCCCTCACCTGCAGAACAGTAATAATAATAATGAGAGTGTTTACCAGCCGCAGGCGGGCGGGCCCGCAGTCTCACCTGCACAGCTCCGCGGGCTCAGCGCGTCCCAGGGAGCTGAGCTGTGCTCCCTCCCTCCCCCAGGTCACGGAGCACGGTCAGACCTCCGCCCCCCCCAAGGCCCTCATGACCACCCAGCGAGATGGCACTGCCTGTGCGACCTGTTGGGTCCCCTCCTTCGCCGCCGTCTCTGCTCGCTAACGAAGACTGGAACGTTCGATAGCCATTTAGGAGGTAAGTTAGTTTCAGAAAGTGCGCGGTTGCTCATGGTAGAAATTCACTCACCTTGTCCATGACCTCCGCCTGGCCCTGGGCCTCCATGGGGTCGCCATCCGGGCTCCAGCTGTAATTGTGCAGACCGGCCGGCGTATCTCTCAGCAACGCCTTCAGAACATCGATTTGTTCCATTAAAAGTAGAATTTCACGCAAGTTGCTTTCCAAAGTCTGGCTCTCCTTCCTGTGAATGGAGACCCCCCGCCCCCCCATGTGAGAAGAGGGAGAGGCCGGCTTCCGGTCGGGGCTGGGCTCCTGGGCCAAGAGCAGAAAGATAAACTGAGGGCAGGAAGCCCAGGGGGACACTGCATCTCAGCACCCGCAGGGACTGTCCTGAGGGCGCGGGGCCCGGGGTGCTTGGAGTAGGGAGTGGGCTCGGCCAACCTCAGGGTTCCTGTCTCTCAGGAGCCCTGTTGCCCTGACATGAGTCATGCGACGTGCCCACACCCACCCCTCCCACCCCACCGACAGGAGCACCGGCATGGAGTGTGGCACAGAGCAGCCTGGGGGGCCTCGGACCAGCCTCAGGCGAGGGGTGGAGGAGGGCCCAGCCGGGGCAAGATGTTCCCTTAGCAAAGGGGTTCTGCTCCCTTTACCGTCTGAAAATTCCTGGTCATGTCAAGCCAGTAGGTATTTCTCTTGTGGAGAAAAGGCAAACACAAATCTCCTATTATTTTTCCAATTTGTAGAACAACCCATGTTCCCAATTTGGAAAATACAAAACCTTCGGAGAGATAAACACAGTAGCACTTTAGTGCGTGTGCAAGTTTTATTCTATGCAACAGAACGGAGACCATCGTTACAATTTTGTGTCCCACGGCACCTCCCCAATCATTGTCTATTTCAGATATTCCCATGGTTCCCTGGGGCTGGGTGGGCTGTCACTCATTCCCCCACCGCTGGGTTCCTTATCCCTCCACTGTTTGAATCATAAATGATACTGAAGGCACCTCCGTTGTTAAACAATTATCTATAGATGCAGCAATGACGATCCTTTTCTGATTTTACAAAAACGCATCAGTATTTGGAACCACAGTGGACAGGCCCACGTGTCCGAGAGCCTCACTCACCTGAAGAGTTCCCGCTGCTCCTTGGGCATCTGACGTTGGGCCTGGAAAAAGAAAGCATCTGAATCCCGCCTGTTCCTCCCAAAACCCCAAGTATCGCTCTTGTTTGTTGGTTGGTTGGTTGGTTGGTTAATCCTCATCCGAGGGTATTTTTTTCATTGATTGTTAGAGAGCGTGGAAGGCAGAGGGGGGGAGAGGGAGAGAAACATCGATGTGAGAGAGAGACATCGATTGGTTGCCTCCCACTCAGGCCTGACTGGAGCCTGGGAATCAAACCCGCAACCCTGCGCTCTACTACTGAGCCACACTGGCCAGACCCGATACCTCAAGTTAAACCAGATCACTTCTGGGGAATCTAGCCGTGGCAGGGCTGCCCCCCGGGGAAATGATGGCTGCTTCAGGCAGGGTTTAGCTGCCAACCAATGCCCTGCTGGCAGCAAGTGCTTTGTGATCACTGGTCCTCAGCTCCTCCCTGGTGGCTGAGGCCGCGCCTTGTGTGACATCAGACTGTGTCCTCCGCATAAGCTGCCAACAGCGAGACCGCGGGCCAGGCTCTGAACGTCTGGTGTGAATTTCGGGTCCAGAGCGGACAGCGTGCTGCGCTCACACACGTGGAGTCCCCCAGTCGTTCTGAGCCGGCCTCCTCACCCACACGTGCGTGTAGCGGTCTTCTCACTGAGGGGTCACTTTGAGGTCAGTGAGCAGGCACTCACTGTGCGTACAACCCTCCAGTGCCACGCTGTCACCGGCCGGTAGCCGTGGCACACGGGGAGGTGGAAGCCGGCTTTGGAAGCGGCTTGAAGTCACTGCGATGCCGGCTCAAGGGTCACCTGGAAACGGTGACTATTCTCTTAGGAATTGATCCCAAGTGAACAATCGAGGATGGTGGAAAGATTGAGCCCAGTGGCGTTTATGTTTATAATGTTGGAAAATTGCAAACAATCCAACGTGTGGAAGTCTGTATTGAATGCATTGTTTTTGTTTGTTTGTATTTGTTAATCCCCACCCAAGGGTATTTTTCCCATTGATTTTTAGAGACAGTGGGAGGGAGGGGGTGAGGGGGAGAGAGACATCGACACGAGAGACACACATCTACTGGTTGCTTACTGCATGCACCCCAACAGGGCCAGGGATTGAACCTGTAACCCAGGTACTTGACCTTGACAGGGAATCGAACCCATGACCCACCAGTGTGCAGGCCAATACTCTAACCATTGCTCACACTAGCCAGAGCTGAGTACATCATTTATGGTGTTATTAGTCAGCCATAAAACGCTGTTATGCATCGTTGAAGAGACTATAGAAAGAGCCACCATCAGCCTCAGGGCGGGGGGGTGGGGCGGGCACAGAGCCCAGGGGTGAAGGCCAGAGGGACCCCTCCTCCTGAGAGCCACTGGCCTGGGGGGAACCACGGAACAGACTCTGGTCCCGCTTTATCTCCATGAGATGCCACGTGCAAACACAGAGGACATCGCACCTACACTCGCCCTGTAGCCATTCAGCCTCAGTGAGCGACACCCATGATCTAGCCACCATCACCTGGTAGTTGGAGAGCCGGGAGCCGTATTCCGCGATCATGGTGTAGAGCCGCCGGGGCTTCTGGGCGGAGTGTCCTCTCGGCCACACGTGGCTCCGGAACCCTGTGCGGGAAGACCCGGTGGGTCGGTGGGGGAGTGTGTCGGGACACGGCTCGGCGCTTTACATGCATCAGCAGGGCTCTCTCCGCTCGGAGGGACACAGACCCTTGGGTGACGGACAACACAAGGTGCTGAAAACCCGGTCCTCCCTCCCAGTCAGCCAAGAGGACCGGGATCGACGGATGCTCTGGGAATTCTGAAGTCAAATCCAAACGCCACAGCACACCCAGGGCTGAAGGAAAGAGCAGGCTCTGTGGGGAGGATGACGGTTTTCTGCTCACCTGCCCGCCTCCTCCCACAGCCACGGGGAGGCGGGGCCGCGGGCACAGCTGCTGGTGTCAGCAGGCAACACTGACCTTGTTCTGTTTTGCTTTAAATATATTTAGATTGATGTCAGAGAGGAAGGGAGAGGGGGAGAGAGAGAACCATCAGTGATGAGAGAGAATCATGGATGGGCTGCCTCCTGCATGCCCCACACTGGGGATCAAGCCTGCACCCTGGGCACCTGCCCTGACAGGGAATTAAACCCTGACCTCCTGGTTCATAGGTCAACGCTCAACCACTGAGCCACACCAGCCGGCCAGACCTTGTTCTTAAACGGCGGTGACTGAGCTGGGAGCTGGCAGTGCCCCTGGCCAGCTGGTCAGAGGCTGGCCTGTGGTTTACCTGCTCCCTGGGGCCAGAATGGCTTTCTGGGAGGCCGCAGTGTCTGCTGAAAGATTTCGAGTCATAAGCTGGCTATGCCCACCCGGGCAGAGGACAGAGAACGAGGGAGTGGCAGACAGACACGAAAGCTTGGAGGGAGGAGGCCGAGGGCGTGAGAAGGAAAAGGGGTGCCATGCGCATGCTCAGAAAAGACCCCAGGGGCCCCTGTGCTTGCAGTCCCCGCAAACAGCACCTCGAGTGCTGCCCAGTTATCGGGTGGCATTTCCTGGCAGTAACTGGGAGGAAGCCTTGGTTTCCATGGGCATCCTATCTTCCCGTGGCCCATAAATTGAAGAGCCATTTCCCAGTGTATGGGGGTGGGGTGAGTGGGGGTGGAGGTGGGGGTGTGCAATACAGACACTCAGAAAACTGCTGCCGATCGTTCACAGCCATTTTGTCCAAAATCCTGTGATGAGTGATAGTCTTTGCTGAGTCACTCAGAGTTAGAAAAGGTCAATGTGTCCGCAATAAAAATGTCAAGTTTTAATGTTAAAGCAATTTCTGTTTTTAAACCATGATCTTAAGAGAAAAAAAAAGTGCTTTCTAAGTTTCCAATAAAGAAGTCTGCTTTGCCCTAGCCCAGTGGTTCTCAACCTTCCTAATGCCGAGACCCTTTAATACAGTTCCTCATGTTGTGGTGACCCCCAACCATAAAATTATTTTCATTGCTACTTCATAACTGTAATTTTGCTACTGTTATGAATCGTCATGTAAATATCTGATATGCAGGATGTATTTTCATTGTTACAAATTGAACATAATTAAAGCATAGTGATTAATCACAAAAACAATATGTAATTATATATGTGTTTTCCGATGGTCTTAGGCGACCCCTGTGAAAG